GATAGGGCACATATTGGGGATACCGTCAAATAAAATCGCGCCAGCCAGACCATTACCCAAGTGGGACCAGAATTGGAAACGATGCGTGGAGCGTGAATTCGAGTGTGACATGAAGGAGATTGTGCGGCGAAGAGGAGATGAGAAATTATAGGGAATTGTGAGCCCCCAGATTGAAGAGGACGCCTGAAAATATATAACAAAATGGAGATGTATTGTTGAAGTCTTATGTTCGACTCGAAACTCAAGGGAACAATATCAGTAATTCATAATAAAAAGAGTTGTAGATACATTTTACTGTTATGAGAAGTGTCTTACACCTTAAGTGTTATTGAAACCTTCAGGACTGGACTACGTCAACTCCTAGCTTAGTGATAGGGAGTGAAGTGATAGAACATGTTGACCACTTCACCTATTTGAGAAGTTGTATTAGCACCAACGGACTGATTGGCGATGAAATCTCAGCACGGATCCGAAAAGCTCGAGCTGCTTTCGCTGACTTACACCATCTGTGGCGTAGGCGTGACATCCGGCTATCAACCAAGGGACGTGTGTACTGCTCAGTAGTTCGCTCCGTCCTTCTCTATGGCTCTGAAACATGGCCAATACGCGTTGAAGACATGAAAAGGCTGACTGGTTTCGATCATAGATGTCTGCGATCTCTGTCTGACGTTAGGTGGCATAATAAGGTAAGTAATGTTGACGTTAGGCGTAGAGTGTTGGGCAAGGAGGGAAAATCAATCGACGAGGCTATAAAGTTACATAGACTGAGATGGCTAGGTCAGGTGGTGCGCATGCCTAACCACCGCCTCCCCCGACGACGGGCATTACTAGCTGAAATAGGTGCAGGTTGGAAAAGAGTAAGTGGTGGCCAAACAAAAACATAGCCTCATCAATCCATGAAATCCTTGACAGTTAAACTGAGTCAGTCAGGTAGGGAGATGCAGACTTCCGGGTTGGGGCCCTCGGGACTGACTCTAGGAATCAATGGCTGGAGACAATAGGTGACATGGCTCAAAATCGTTGTCAATGGCAGGCGCAGATGTATTCAGTCTCTGTAATCTTTCATATTCCTTTCTACCATTACCCATTCTGTTTCACTCTTATACTTGTCAGACTGTATTGATTCTCTTCACTCATCTTCTTGTCTACCTCTGTGTGCTATTTGGAAGGTGGCAACTCGAACTGGTGCACTTCGGTGCCAAGTTCTATGTTGAATCCAGACAGATAGACAGAAACCTTCATGAACGTGAGTCTTATTTATTTTTTACTAATCAACTCAACTTTGTGATTGTGAGCAGAGGATGTAATTCAACTTAACAGAAGACTAGTCTGGAATATCACAGTGTTAAAGTATCATATTTCTGCATTCACTTCATTTCGTCAAGATTTACGATTTAGTATTCCGCAGTGATTCTTGTTAATGAGGATGAAGCATAGTTCTGAGGCTTTTATTTTCTATTACCTCATTACCATTCAGCTGTTCTAATCAGATGGAGAGGTAGATTCTGAGATTTTTATCGAATAATAAACAAAAATTCATTCAGATCCCTTTATTGATATAAAACTTACTAATGCAGTTTGGATGGTATTGTTATCAGGAGATGGAGATTATCTGAAAAACAATGTGATGTGATGTGATGTATTTGCCCAATACACTTTCAACAACAAACTGATTCTTCACACTTTCACTTGTCATTTAAGTCAATTTATATATTCTACAGTTGGTTTATACGGATTAGATTTGTTTCTACGAGTTTAACCGCGGACTGATATCATTTAGAGAGAACCATTGATAACCAGCCACACAGGGAGTACTGGACAGCTATTTCATCCTAGTTTGGGAGTCATCGGTATTACACACCCACCACGGGGGTTTGAACTCAGGACCTTCCGGTTATAAGGCAAGCTAGCTCGTATACCATTCATCAGCCACTGGGACCCAATTCAATGTCCAGCGCATGAATTCTAACTTCTACTAATTCGTGATTTACCGCGACTACCAAACTAGGATGAAACAGCAGCTGTCCAGTTCCCCTTTGGTTTTCAGTGGTTCTCTAAATGATATCAATCCGTGATAAACTCCTAAAAAAATATTTATATATGAAAAAAAAATAAAGGGAAAGTTAAAATACACAAAGTGACAAAAAAGATTTAAGAATAATAAGGATAATTAACAACACCTTTGGTTATATTGATATGTATCCACATATATATATTTATGTGTGTGTGTGTATGTTGGTCTCTCCTTCTGTTTGCTCGCTTAGTCTGTGACCATTTCACTGGTGTGAACTTGTCTCCTTTAACAATGTATATTCTCCTTATATTATATATAATATGAGTGTTTGTTGACAGTCCGTTGCTTAGTGACATATATCCATATATGGTGGTTGTTGACATGTCTGCTATATTTCGCTACGTATATATGGATCGATACTTCATTATAATTAGCCATTCATGTTAAGACTGTCTAATGATTGTTCACACCCTTGTCATATATATTTCGCTCTCACAATTTGTGTGACTCACTTACACTCACTTACTTTGGTGTGATACCACTTGTGCATTCTCCTTGTGTTTGGAAAATAGAAGTATCATCGCAAACCTAGTGGTCTTCTGATTTCCGCCTTCTTGCGTCAGGACAATTAGTTTCTCGACCAGTCCATAACAATAATTTGTCGACTAGTACATAACATATATCTAATCAGATAAGGATTATCAAGGTAGAGGCGAGTTAAGCGTAATAACAAGTTGATTTTGTACACACAGGTGTGAGTGTTTATTGGTAGGCGCATATGTTTATTAATAGCTCTCGCCTCAAAGTATTTCAATAAGCGCCCTTGACCGATTAATTATAAATAACCTTATGAAGCTGTTTTCACATCAATCTTGTGGTTCATATATCAATTAGATGTTCTCAGCTATAAACGAAGTTGATAGTCTGCCACTTGTATCTATCGTCTTTCCGAAGTCCATTTGTTTTTCTAACCACTTCGGAATATACTCTCCCACTCTCACATGAAAAGCGCGATTATCTTTCCCCCTATGTTTGGGTGTCTAAACACACACACACGTGTGGGATGTGACATAATCAGTTGCGCACTTTTGAGGTTCAAAATGGAGCATATTTTTGGCTTTCTTGATCATTATAAGCCGAGCTGTATAATAGGTTCTACAGATGACCGAGTTTAATCTCTGTTTCAAAATCCCCACTATTCACTTCCCCATTATTGTATGAAAAAACATCTTTCTTACAGACATGACAGATTGTAGGTTTCCAGCAAGAGTAGGCATCAGTATTTTATTTCCGTTCTTTATAACATCAGCTGAATAACACCTCTTGAATAAGTACTTTACCAAGCTTCTGCTATGCTGTAGTGGACAAAAGCTGTGAAAATTTATTTTGCAAATGCAGCACATCACATTGTTTTTCAGATAATCTCTGTCTTCTTTATAACAACACTATCCAAGCTTATAAAAGGGACTAATTGTTTTAAATTACTAATGCAATCACCTTATTATGACTGTTATCAAAATCTCGAGGTTATCTCAGGATTTTATTAAAAAGTTTGCCAATCTTTCCCTTGGAATCGATATAATGTATGGATATTCAGTGCAGTGTAGGCTTTATCAACATGATCGTTATAATAAAGGTTTTTTTTATGTATTTCCCAATGAATGAATGAAAAACAAAACGATAGTATTGTGTTTACTGATGTTTCGCTATTTAATACTGCTGCTAATAGCTTTATCGAAGTAGTAATATTGAACTAGAATTTACAAAATCTCAGCTTACATATATAACAACTTAATCATCGTTGCTCAAACAAACTACAGACCTTCATTAACAGTTGTCTTCGCTCAATACTTCACTCAAAATCAGATGACCGGCCAGAAAAGATCAGCAACAGGGATCTCTGGCAGTGAACGAACCAACCAGGAACCGATTGTGAAACAAATAGGCAGGAGGAAATGGAGATGGATTGGCCGTATTCTGAGGAAACCATCGAATGAGTGACATCAATAGACAAGCCATCGCTCGAGTGGAACCTGGCAGAATGAGAAGCGGTGAGTTGGTCGTCAGTGCAAGGGTGTCTTGGAGGAGGTCATGTGAAGAGGAGATGAAAGCATGTGGGCAAACTTGGAGCAGGGTGAAAACGTTGACAGAGGACCGAATGCAATGGAGACGCGCTGCTGAAGCTCTATGTGTCCCTCTAGGAATTAAAGGAAATAATAATAATCGTTGCTCATTATGAGGTCATTTTTCGTCAAATTGGCCAGGTGGTAAAGATAACAAATCCAGGCGTAGATTGTTAGATTTGATAAGTGTATAAAATTATAAAAGCAGTGTGTTTACATAATGAAATTTTTTATCACATTCATTTTGATTCTGTGATTCCATGACGGGAGACACAGTGTTGTAATCAGGTTAAATTCTGTTTTATTCTATCATTCCTATTCAAACATTTGGGATTCCACTTAATATGAAGTGCCTCTGATGAAATGATACGTTCTTTGTGATTTCTGAAATGCTTTTTCTGGATGATGATTTCAATATTGTCAAAATCAATTTTGTGTGCATCTGTGGCACAGTGGTTAGGACTCTTGCCAACCATGTACATGGTCCGAGGTTCGATCCCCTGCCGACGCACACCTGATGTCTATGGGTTGGACTGCCCGTATCCACGCTGAGAATTCCATACTTGTACCAAAATTACAGTGTGGAATCTAGCTGTAATCAAAAATAAAAATAATAAAATATGTCTTGCAGACAAGCTATGGTTGGCTGATGATCTTTCAAGCTTTCCTAGTTCGCTAACTGGATTTCTCGGTGGTCGAACAGATGCGGTTCTACAGTGTTCACTTCTTCTGATTTTGATTTCGCTCTAGAGATGTTTGTCAGATGTATATAGTATTGGTATTATTATTATTATTATATTTATCCAGACATAATTTGATATTTAATTAATCGTTTCATGTCTTTTATTGGGGTTTCTCTTTAGATGATCTACATAGTAATTTATGCTATTTCTACCTTGCTGGTTATCAACGCTGACAATATACCACCACCACCAACAACTTCAAATTATCCTATTCAACATCCACAACTTGACTGTCATATAACTCAACAAGGATTTCATCTTCGATTACGTTGTGATTTTCATAATTTTCCTAAGAAATCATTAGAAGGTTGTCAACTTCATGTACATTTACCGTCAGGTATATTTGAATGATCTGTTTTTTTTTTGTATTGCTTATTATTATTACTATTAAAAAGGATTTTAGTTGAATGATTTCATCATGAGCTGACATCATCGGTTAGAGGACCATTGAAAACCCAGCTGGGAATACTGGACAGCTGTTTCGTCAGCCTAGTTGAAGACTCTTCAGTGAATGAAGTATCCTAGGTTCGAACCCTGGCGCTGGGTGTATACTACCGAGGAGTCTCAAACCGGGACGAAACTGCATTCCAGTACTTCCAGCTGGTTTTCAATGATTTTCTCACTGATATCCATCCGTGGTAAAACTTAAATCTGACAATCAGGCGGGTGCGTACTGCTGAAGAGTCCCAAACTAGGACGAAACAGCTGTCCAGTACTCCCAGGTTTTCCAATGGTTCTCTAACTAATGTCAGCTCATGATGAAATCCTGAAACCAATCAAATCCCTACAAACCAACACTTGAATACCAATGAGATGCTCACTGGCGACTGGCCCTATTCAGATAGGTAGTTACCTGGGTTCCGGTGAGAAGTCGTGATCAGTAGGGTACAGCTGGTCGGGTGTGAGGACAAATACTCGCCGAAGACATTGGCTAGCGGTCGCGCTATGTCATGAATTGGCAGAAGTTAGAATTCAAGGACCATTGGATCGGGTCCCAGTGGCCTAATGGTATACGAGCTCGCCTTGTAACCGGAAGGTCCTGGGTTCGAATCCCGGTGGGTGCGTACTGCTGAAGAGTCCCAAACTGGGACGAAACAGCTGTCCAGTACTCCCAGGTTTTCCAATGGTTCTCTAACTAATGTCAGCTCATGATGAAATCAGGTTTAAACTGGGATTTTAAGAATCAAGGTAAGCATATGAAAGTTAAATGCTTGAGTGACGTTTACACATACTAACTTCGAAGTAATGAATACATTCAATTTCAAATAGCCTTTTCTTTTCTCGATTTGATTGTCAACATGGTAGATTTGATTTTATGCGTAAAAAATGCTCAGAATTCCAGAGATATTCGTTGTCATAGTTGCTGTTAATAAGCAATTATGCTCCAATGTTTAGACTGATGAAAACTATCTATTCAATAATCCTATTTCCTAACATATTCAATTGATTGACAAGTTTACATAACTTAATTAATGCTCTTTATTTATCAGTTAAGAAATAGGAAATATAATTGTTACTTGTTGAGAGTAAGCTGAGTTCAGTGTAAACGTGACACAAGTTAATCACCTATCAGTACCTTGTTTCGAATCCAGCACTACAATAACTATGATGATCATCTTCAATGGTGTGGCAAAGTATCAAAGTAAAGTTGAAGAAAGAAAATTATTCAGTCAATGTTAACACATCTAATTGAACGTGAATTACTTTTACACATGAATCCACTTTAAAATGTGTCACAATATGAATTCTGTATTGTTAAATGTTCAATGTACACATTCATTAAAATAAATATCCATAAAGATATAAAAAATTGAAACATTGTGGTACAATAAAAAAAACGACTCTTGCAATTGCAGCGAAGAAAATTTACTTTTCGATGAAGTCATCATCTAGATAGCTGTACATTCGTGTACTTATATCAAATGGATGGGAAAGTTCCAGAATAATTTCCGGTTAAGGGTCAAATTAATAAGTCACAATTAGGAATTAGAATGCCATAATAAACAGGGAGATGAATAAAACAAACAAAGTAGCCTTATAATAACTAAGATGACTGACATTGTGCAATTAGGGGTTAGAAATGTAGAAATAACAAAATAGACAGGATGTTTGGATAAAAACTAATGTGATGAATAATTGTTTATGCAATCAGGGATTAAATATGTAGAAATAGTAAAATGACAAAATAAACACGAAGTTCGGGTATGAAAATATGGTAGTGTAAACAGGGATTAAGAAAAACTTGAAATAACATGAATAAACAGGAAGTTTAGATAAGAAAGGCGATGGGATGGTGATTACTAAAAATTACCTGTTTATGATGGCCATGGCAAGGACAGGGGTTGGACGTATTTCTTTTGTATACAAAGCGTGGGTTTGAGCTTTTGTATAGCTAGCGCCTCGGCTATGCCCAGATGTCTTGATTTTACTCCCTTTGATAGGTTTGATCGAATCTTGTACATGATTTTGAAGGATTTTTCGAAGGGCGCTGAATGTCCCGAATTGACCAGATGTTCTGTCACTGGACTGTATACACGTTTTTGGTATCCTTTTACTAACCAGACTGGATAGTGTTCACGAGCGTGTTTTTCAAGTTGGCATATGGTACGGCCAATGTACTCAGCTCCACAAGAGCAAGTAAATCAGCATATGCACGTTGAGGTGGCCGATTGCGACAGCTTGTCTTTCGCGTTCTGGCTGAACAGTTTCTTGCAGGAAAGCGTCAGTCGTAGGCACGCGACGAAGTATGTTTTCCTCAGCAATTTGGAGAGGCGTTTGCGAAGGATTTCTGCTTCAATATCACCTTTGAATTCTAGACTAAGCAGAAGTATTTTTTGGAACGGATTGGACTTGTTCGGAAGTCTTCTTAGGTTTGAGATTCCTGTCTATGAACCTGAGCGGGAAACCGTTTTCCATCAGGGTTTTTCGGAGATTACGCAGTTCTTCTTCAACCACTTCCTCGCTGCATATCTTCCGAATCCTCAAGGAAAGAGTGTATATCAGGTTCCTCTTTCTGATTAGGGGCACGAAGCTTTCAAAGTTGATGGATTGTCCGTTCCATGTAGGCTTTTTGTATATGGACCTTTTCAGAGAGTTGTTGGCGTTTCTTATCAGATGGACGTCGAGGAAGTGGAACATTCCGTCGGATTCAGTCTCAAGTGTAAAGTTGACGTTTAGGTGGGCGTTATTGAAGATTTTAATTTTTATTAATTTGACCCTCAACCGGAAATTATTCTGGAACTTTCCCATCCATTTAATAAAAATACACGAATGTACAGCCTAGATGATGACTTTATCGAAAAGAAAATTTTCTTCGCTGCAATTGTCTTCTTAATAGCTCCTATGACCCAATGTGTATATTCCGTGACTCTTGCAATGTATTAAATTTGTATTTCAAACTCCAAAAAGTTCCTAAATTCATAGTTACTTTTATTAACTTCCTTCCCGAAAATATAAAATTTCAATTTGGTTTAAATCACCTCATTTTTGCGCGCTACATAATTTAAATTTATTTATTGCACGCACTATTTAGTTAACATTTTAATTGGTTTCAATGCATACACATTTGTATTTTTTTATATTTAGGTTTTTATATCGATCCATATGAATTAGCCTCAAATCAGCCTAAATTGAATTTTTCCATAAGTAAATCAGTCAATCATAATGAAAACTCTCGAATTGACCAAATTGTAAATTGGTTGACAAATGCAAAGAAAGCAGATCCAACTAATGGGAATAATGAAGTAATAAGTTATAATCATGTGGATGTTGAAGCTCCAGAATGGTTATCTGAACCGCTGACTTATAAATTTCATACAAATCATTTAGAGGATAAAAGTAATTCAGAAGAGAATAATGCAGTTGGTTCATTAGATATTCCTATTCATTTACGTTATCAGTAAGTGTTCGCCTTCTTCTTGTTGTTGTATGTAGGAAATGTTTTGACTGTTTGTTGTGCAAGTTTAAATGATTGACGACATATGTGTAAAACTTGGGCACTGTGGTAGTAAGTAATTTCGTATTAGTTTGTTTATTAGATGTATCACCATACAGTGAAACAGTTTTAATATTTACTGGATGACACGGTTTCGAACAAAATTTATTGTGTTTAATTGAATTTTAGATTCTCCCATTGATTGATTGGACCGAAGTACTCGGTCTCAGGTTGACATGTCGGCTTTTTACGCATCCTGGATTCCACTGCTAGTCACCATCCACCAATTAAATTCTAATTAAACGCTCAGACATCGTCGAAACATTTGCACAAGAATCCAACGTGCCAACGTGAGACCTATCACTTTGGTCCAATCAGTCGATGGGAAAATCTAAAATTTAATTAAATTAATATGACCCGTTGCATGAGAGGTGACTCTGGTGGCCCAAGTGGTCTAGTGGATAACACTTTGGCGTTTGAAACTATGGACACTGGGTTCGAGCCTCGGCGGGAAAATCATCACTGGATGACAAGTCCCAAATAGGACGAAACACGCATCCTGGATTCCACTGCTAGTCACCATCCACCAAAAAAAAATAAAAATAATAAAATAATTAAAATTTATTGTGGTTCATAATCATCCCATCAATTATAATGACACGACTTCGCAGCTTTAGTTTTGTAGTTTTATTTGTTCTCTTCTATTTGTCGTCGTTGGGGTAGTAGAATTTTTCAGATATCTGAGTGGACAGGTGTTGAATCCTTTCTATTACACGTGTTTGCAGTTGATTCGATAAACAAAGCTTTCGCTGTCATCAATCTCTCCCTGTGACATTCGATTAGATTTTAAAACTGTCATCTTATCCCATCCTATTGTGTGGTTGTGTGTAACTGCATGTAGTGCTATCTACGACTGAACTATTATCTAGATTTCTTATCTTATTTGGGTCAACTAATCTAGTCTCCGCAAGAACCGTGAACAGTGGTGGGTGACAAAAGCCAAAGAGATGGAGAAAGCTTTGAGGATAGGCAACACCAGGCAACTCTTTGGACTCATCAGGGAAACGGGTGGGAGAAGACAAATCATTAGTGAGACAATCTCGGAAAAAAATGGCACTATAATTAGCTCACAGGATAGACGACTGGATCGTTGGAAAGAGCATTATGAGGAGCAGTTTAATTTGCCCACAGCCACGCTCAACCTTCCGAGCATCCAACACCTCCCTGAATGGGATATAGATACAGGTCCTCCGTCACTAACTGAGGTTACTAAAGCTGTCACCAATCTGAAACTAGGCAAAGCAGCGGGACCTGATGGAATGACTCCAGAGGTATTTAAGTACGGTGGAGACAGCTTACTGTCTGCATTAACTGAGGTACTAGGAGGCGTCTGGGAATCAGAAGAAGTCCCATCGGGTTGGTGTAAGTCACTGATTATCCCCATATACAAGAAGGGAGACAAGTCTTCCTGTGATAATCACAGAGGGATTAGCTTGACTAATATAGTATCTAAAGTCTTAGGCTCAATAATCATGCGTAGACTGAGTGGTGCTCGGGAAGCACAAACACGAGAGAGCCAGGCAGGCTTTAGACCAGGAAGAGGGTGTATTGATCATATCTTCACCCTCCGACAGATTCTAGAACATAGGCATTCCTACCGGCGTCCAACAGTCATTATATTTCTTGACCTAAAGGCAGCATTCGACTCTGTCGATCGGGAAGTTCTCTGGAGATGCTTGGCTGTAAAGGGAATTCCGAGAAAATATATTGCACTGATTAAGGCACTCTATTCGTACTCATACAGCCAGGTGAGGGCTTACGGCGAGCTGTCATCTGAACTGATGACGACCAGTGGTGTCCGTCAAGGATGCCCATTATCTCCTTTTCTATTCAACTTCATCATAGATGTGTTAATGGACTTAACCCTAGGTGACTTCAGCGACTCAGGAATTGACTTGCTACCGGGAATAATCTCGTTGACTTGGAATATGCAGACGATATAGTCCTTCTAGGCGAAGACGCTGACGAAATGCAGAGTCTTCTAAACACCTTGAGCCTCAATCTACGAATGTTTGGCATGCGATTCGCTCCCGCCAAATGCAAGATGATGTTACAGGACTGGACTACATCGACGCCTAGTTTAAAAATAGGAAGTGAAGTGGTAGAGCACGTTGACCGCTTCACTTATTTGGGAAGTACCATCAGCCCCAACGGGTTGATCTCTGACGAAATCTCAGCACGAATACAAGGGGCTCGTTTCGCATTTGTTAGTTTACGCCGACTCTGGCGTAGACGAGATGTTCGACTATCGACCAAAGGGCGGGTGTACTGCTCATCAGTCCGCTCCGTCCTCCTTTATGGTTGTGAGACCTGGCCACTGAGAGTGGAAGACATGAAAAGACTAGCTGTCTTTGATCATAGGTGCCTGCGTTCTATTTCCCGTGTAAAGTGGCATAATAAGGTGAGCAACATGGAGGTTAGGCGTAGAGTTCTAGGTAAACAGGGGAAATCAATCGACGAAGTCGTGAAGCTACATCGACTGAGATGGTTAGGACATGTGTTACGTATGCCAAGCCATCGCCTCCCTCGACGAGCAATGTTAGCGGATATAGGGTCAGGCTGGAAAAAAGCTAGCGGCGGTCAAACAAAAACTTGGCATCAGTCAATGAAATCCACAACAGTTGGTCTAAGCCACGTAGGAAGGTGTAGACTTCCAGGCTGGGGTCCTCGGGACGGTAAAAATCTATGGTTGGAAACAATTGGTGACATGGCTCAAAATCGTTCTCAGTGGCGCAGATGCATCCACTCCTTGTGACTTATGATTTCCAATGAAACTGTTTTGTTCTTCGTTATTACTCCTTTGTCTCACACCTCTGCTCACTGTTTCTATTATGCTTTTCTTGTACTTTCTTCTCTTGCTTCGCGTGCTACACGGAATGTGGCGACTTGAACTTCCGCACATTTGTGCAAAGTTCTATGTCGAAAACAGACAGAGAGACAGACAGTTAGGTTTTTATGCTCAGCTAGTCTGACTGCCCCTGTTCTACTACTCTGACCTATGTATTTGAGCTGAAAATCATTGCAGGCAGTGTATTAGATAAACTAAATTGTTTTGTTTTAAAGGCTCCACAGGATTGATCCTTTAACCGAAAAAGCTCGTTTCTAATTGAGTTTGTGGGTGGTTTGAATGCCAGCCACTTCTATTACTGCCTTGTTAAGAATTCTGCGTAAGGTTTCCAAGGTTTCTTCCTTGTATGGAATTACTACTGATGATTTAGATTCCTTCTTGTTGGTGTTTTCGTTATCCTGCCCATGTCTGATATGCATGTCGTCATTAATATTACTATTGTTATCACCATAACTACTACCATCATTTATTTTATTTTTACATTTCCCTACATACTTTCTGACTAATTTATCAGGATAATTATTAAGTTTCAAAGCTTCTCTTATTTGTCTTACTTCCTGTCTTAGTTTTTCCTTAGTACTACTTAGTTTTTGTGCTCTGTCATATAAACATTTCACCAATCCCATCTTCACTGACATAGGATGGAATGATCGGAAATCCAAATGTATGTTTGAATGTGTGGGTGTTTAAACTTCCCATCTTCTTTCCTTTTTACATTTCAATCTAACATTGGAAGCTCCCCTTCCTGACTTTCCAATTCATAAGTGAATTGAATTGCCTCTACCTTCGAGTTGATATGTTCGAAAAATCTATCTATATCTTGCCTCCTAAGTACTGTGAATGTATCATCGACATACCTCCACCATACTTTTGGACTGGGGCTGAATGTTTCAATCACTATGTTTTCCCACCTATCCATTAATATATCTGCTACAAACGGGGATATTGGTGACCCCATGGCAATTCCCTCAGTTTGTTTGTATATTTTCTTTTGGAATTTAAATACTGTATTTTAATTCCAAGGGAAAATATACAAACCAGGACAACTGAAATGGCTGTCCACTACTCCCTGTCAGTTTTCCAATGGTTCTCCAACCGATGTCAGTGCATGATGAAATCCTCCAATTAATCAAAATGATAGGAAATGCAAATGCAAAACTGCAAACACACGTGTAATAGGAATTATTGAACACCTGTCCACTCAGATATCTGCAAAATTCTACTACCACGCCAACGACGACAAATAGGAGAGAACAAAGAAAACTATAAAAATCAAGTTTCGAAATTGTGCAGTGATATGTTTATGAACTACAATAAATTTTATTCTACACCTTGTTTCACTCACTGTGTGATCTATCTAATAAACATACTAATACGGAATGCATGTGGGATTTCATCATGAGCTGACATCAGTTAGAGGACCACTGGAAAACCTGGGAGTACTGGACAGCTGTTTCGTCCTAGCTTGGGACTCTTCGCAGTACGCACCCACCGGGGTTCGAACCCATGACCTAAAACCATTGAGTCACTGGGACCGGATCCAATGGTCTTTGAATTCTAACTCCCAATGGCTCAATGGTCTACGAGCTCGCCTTGTAACCAGAAGGTCCTGGGTTCGAACCCTGGTAGGTGTGTACTGATGAAGATTCCCAAACTAGGACGAAACAGATGTCCAGTACTCCTTGTAGGTTTTCCAGTGGTTCTCTAACTGATGTCAGCTCATAATAAAATCCTCTATGCAATCAAATAAAATCCTTAAAGAAGCAATACTTGAAAATAATACGGAATGATTGACCATACACACTACTGATTGATTTATATAAGTAGTTGAAAACCACTCATATCGAGTTGTATTAGTCTCTGTCAGCTTTATCCACGTGATCTAAAAACACCCAATGTCTTTAACTCGTATGGAGTCGAGTTCATCAGAAGCGCGCTCATTATGATTTAACGCATACATTTATGTTTAACTTTGTTTCCAGAGCAGATGACGTATTGTGATCTGAATATTTTCGGTCTCCTAAGATCAACTCTGATTAATCTTTATCTCAAAGTGTGTAATTTACAGTTTTGCGGATTAGATTTTGTGTTTTCTTAAGTACTTCTGATACATATTAAAACGTGCATTGGTAATATCGTTAAGAAAAGAGTACTTCTCAAATCTGCTAGACGGCCACATTCGTAACAGGAGACAATAAAAGAAGGAAGAATGAAAATAGAGTAGTACTCCGGTAAAAAAGCATACGAGTTTTGATCGGAGATGGGATATAAAGGAACAAACATTCATAGAGTTTGTTGGCAGCTAATAGCTTCATACACCCGTAGGTACTATATCCTGAAACTTAATCTTCTTTGAAGGCTTCGTTGATCCATACAAGTGCTTTTAAGTGTTTGAAGGTGGCCCTAGTATATCAATCGTTTTTTGAAAAGCTGTGAAATCGTTTGTAACAATAATCCAAGTCCTAAGCTTAATCAAGGTAAGAAGCAGTTGACAGTGTATTTTTAATTGCTCCAGTTTTTATTTAAGTGGAGTGATACTGGATACTTTGATTGGGCACTAGTTAGTCTCATGTGTCTAGTCTTTTGTTTGCTGCAGGCTGAATTCTATCGGTCAAGTCTTCCAATGTGGCCACCATGTCACTAAAGTGGTTGAAGGCAATCGGAATGAAGCCCTGTCTGACTTAGGCTTCTTGCTAGTTGGCACTCACCAGTCAGCAAGACGTATCTGCAATCCTGAAATAACTGGTGTCCTCTCCCGGATTCAGACCCCCGGATCACCCAGTACTGCAGTCAGAGACGTTATCACTGAGCTGATTGCCTCCAACCATCTAGTAACAACAACAATTCTGACAGCAAACTAAGGACTAGACTCATGACACAAAGTATCTAATACAATCCTACCGGAGGTCAATCGCTAGTCCTAAAAGCTCAGTGATAACGTCTCTGACTGCAGCACTGGATGACACGAGTTTGAATCTCAGGAGGTACATGAATTCCTTCAAGTCTGCAGAGACGCCCTGCTGACTGGTGAGTTCCTGCAAGCACGAAACCTAGGTCAGCTGACTGGGCTTTCTGTCGATCACCTCCAACCATTTAATAACAACACTCCGGAGTGATACTGAGTTGTTGGTTTGTCTAACTAGAATGGGCCTCCAAAACACGATACTAACACCGGCTGATTGATCACTTGAAAATACCTCCCACACTGAAATAAACATAAACGCCAGACTAGGAGAGATGACTATTGGAACGCCGACGATCTTGATTAGATAAAATACATGTTATATATGTTTATATACAAACCCTCAGAAATTTAAGCTATATAATTAAATACAAATCTGATTGGTTTTTTTGACGTCGTAATCCTTCAGACAATTAAGCTATAAATACACACGAATCAGGTTATCATGTCAGTGCATGCATTAAATCACGACTTCACAGCTGACACAGAAGCTTGTCCGTCTTGACAGTGATGTAATAAAATAACAGTCCTAGAAAAAACTACGATCATTGAACATAAATAAGTATTCAAAAGAATGGATACTCAACAAATAATACTCTTTGCGAAAACTTCACCATCAGGCTCTACAATTATATATACATTATAGTGAACGAATTAGTGATATGAACAACATTGATGTTGTTTAAATAACATTGAATCAGTAATGGTAATAATAATAATAGATTCCAGTTCAATTATCATTATTATATTATTACATCCTTTAATTCCTAGAGGAACATAGGACTTCAGCCGCGCGTCTCCACTGCGTTCGGTTTTCTGCCAACTTTTTCACCCCTCTCCAAGTCTGCACACATGCTTTCATCTCCTCTTCACATGACCTCCTCCAAGTCACCCACCCTTGCACTGACGACTAACTCACCGCTTCTCATTCTGCCAGGTTCCACTCGAACAATGGCTTGTCTAGTGATGTCACTCATTCGATGGTTTCCTCAGAATACGGCCAATCCATCTCCATTTTTTCCTGCCTATTTGTTTCACAATCGGTTCCTGGTTGGTTCGCTCATTGCCAGAGATCCCTGTTGCTGATCTTTTCTGACCGGCTATCTGATCTTGGGTATTGAGTGAAGACAACTGTTAATGAAGGTCTGTGGTTTGTTTGAGATGCCCTTCATGACGCGCCAAGTCTCTGATCCGTATAATAGCACTGACTTTACATTGGGGTTGAAAATCCAGATCTTATTTTTGATGCTGAGTAGTGGCTGTTGACCTCCACACAGAATAGAGAGTAGTGAAAGCTTGTCTTGCTTTTCCGATTCTGGCTTTGATATCCTCGTCAGTTCCGTCCGCTTGTAATTGTAACGATGCTCCCTATGTCGGTAGGTAAGGAGGTTGTTTCTTCCAGGTTCCTCCTATTTATGCATCAACATAACAATAAACTGAATGTCGGAAAAATAAGGAAAGATAATATTACAGATTTATGAATTTATAGTCTCCACTGAATGCCGGCCAGGGCAGTATTAGGGGCTGGAATTGCTTCTTTTGAACACAGAGCACTGGTTGTTTGAGGCGTATTGCAATAGCCTCTGCTGTTTAGAGCATGCGGTGCTTCGATGATAAATAAGTATTCTGAAGATGATAATATTGTTGTTTATGCGTCGTCGGTGGTGTATGCCATCCAACTGTCTTATTCAAAACAGGAACCTTTTGTTTACTTTTACCTTTTATTTACTTGACCTACTGAAATTTTAAATATATACAACAAAATTTTATTCATATAATTAATTTCCAGTTGTTATATGTGGGACCGGTTGATCAGCCTTCTTTTGGCATGTGTGTGTGTGTGGGTGGGGGGCTCCTTGAACAGACGCCTCGACAATACGAAGATATTATTAACTAGTTGCACAAGAGGTAGTTCCCGTTGCCTTCTATTGGATAACCTACTGTTGTCTGAAGCGATGGATGGTGGTCGGTTCAGTCTCAATTACAGCCAGTTGACGAAGTGAAAATGAACTTAATGTGGAGGGGCTTGACAAAGCCTTTTAAATCTAGTGAGACGACTAAATAGTGTCTATCTCGCTTATTCATTAAATACACGATTATGTCAGTGGCAAAGTGGTAGAATGCTCGCCAACCACGCAGCTGGTTCGGCGTTCGGTCACCGGCCACCGACGCACTACTTAACTTTGCTAAGCTAGTAACAAGACTGTTAGAGAGGGAAGGTTGGTTGGGCATGAGACCAGCAACACCGTCCCGTAAAAATAAATACCTCTGCTACCGAAGATCTTGGAGGATCTGGACTTCGCCGATGATATATATGTCTGATTTCCCACAAGCTGGAAGATATGCAAGTGAAAAGCAACAAGTTGGCAGAACAAGCATCCGGAGAAGAATGAACTTCAGGTGGACATAGAGAAAACAGAGGTGATGAAGTTTCCTGACCAACAGCAACAGCAGACAACAATCAGCATGAATGGGGGGAACCCGAAAGAAACAACGTCCTTTACTTACTGACCTACCTGGGAAGCATCGTTTCAACTACAGGTGGAACTGACGAGGATATCAAATCAGCGGGGATCATCAGAAAAGCAAGACAAGCTTTCACTACTCTCTATTCTGTGTGGAGGTCAACAGCCACTACTCAGCATCAAAAATAAGATCTGGATTTTCAACCCCAATGTAAAGTCAGTGCTATTATACGGATCAGAGACTTGGCGCGTCATGAAGGGCATCTCAAACAAACCACAGACCTTCATTAACAGTTGTCTTCACTCAATACCCAAGATCAGATAGCCGGTCAGAAAAGATCAGCAACAGGGATCTCTGGCAATGAGCGAACCAACCAGGAACCGATTGTGAAACAAATAGGCAGGAAAAAATGGAGATGGATTGGCCGTATTCTGAGGAAACCATCGAATGAGTGACATCACTAGACAAGCCATTGTTCGAGTGGAACCTGGCAGAATGAGAAGCGGTGAGTTAGTCGTCAGTGCAAGGGTGGGTGACTTGGAGGAGGTCATGTGAAGAGAAGATGAAAGCATGTGTGCAGACTTGGAGAGGGGTGAAAAATTTGGCAGAAAACCGAACGCAGTGGAGACGCGCGGCTGAAGTCCTATGTTCCTCTAGGAATTAAAGGATATATTAATAACAATACCGAAACTGGCAAGGCTCTATCGTGAAGCCAATTTATGTCCCACTGGAAACGTAAGGGAATAAGCCTTATCGTCATTGTATTACTTCATAATCGGCAAATTCGTTCGTTTTATCTTTTGTTACTAAATGTTTTTTTCTAGTGTACCACGGTTAGCTTCTATAATTGTTATTTTTTTATGATTTTTAGTCTGCCGTTGACAAAAAGTGAAGAACTTAAGAACACCGAACCTACTACTGAAATCAAACATCCTACTCTTAACTGTCCAGATGGCAGCAACAGTTATATTGTCGGCAAGAATAATAATAAAGATTATTTCCCGGTGATTGTACCAAAACCGAAGGCTTCTGATCTTGTATATGTAATGCCTATCACTATTCTGCTTTTAGTTGTGGGTGTTGTAGTCCTATTAATGGCGTAATTGCTAACTGCTCAACCCCTCAACTGTTTTCTCTCGTTCTACCTTCTAATAATTAGTAACGGTAAATATATATAAGTATATCCGTGAATCCATGACAATAGGACATTTTAAGAAAATGGAACCTCTTTGGCAATAGTATATGTGATAATATAATAACTGCTCATTGTTCTTTTATTTTGTTTTTGTAATTTAATCCTCTAAGTGAATGCGCTAGAAGTTAACTTTTATTGTAATAAAACTCCTTGAAGTACTGTCATCTTTGTGTTGTGATTAATCAGCTGTTTTGATTGAAATTTATAATTGTGGCAGCTAATCTGATTTATTACTAAAATGTGAGGAGATATTGAAAGTAAATTTGAGATATTGAGTATTTCTCCTCTGCTATCCATATCATTTTTTCCCTACATGACCCTATGACTTTTGAGTGCTGTTTCAGTACTGAATGTGAATCGACAAAGGCGATGCGTTGACTGAAAGACTCATTTAAAGTTTCGTCGAATCAGACAAATCACATCTTTAAATATGCTCCAGTAGCGTGGTATATGTTGAATAGGTGCAGAATGAAACAACCTGCATCATGGAAATGAATTCCCACAATATAGTCACTGTAAGTTAGTTGAATCCACCTTTGACAAGTTCATTCTGTTTCTTTGAGTTGATCACGGATTGATATCATTTAGAGAACCATTGAAAACCAGGGAGTACTGGACAGCTGTTTCATCCTAGCTTCGTATGTTTTCCTATGTTTCGTATCAACTAGGCGGTCAAATTGCCTGGGGAAAATACACCAGCTGTAATGATTTTGCCTAGAAATCCGTCATGTATCATCATGGACTAACTCGATGTCAATCACCATCAATATAATTAATATATAAAGGAAATCGCTTATTTCAATTTCCTATGTAGCATTGCCAACCATACACATGGTCTGGGGTTCGATCCTCGGCCGACGCACTCCTTTACCTCGCTAAGCTGGAAATAATGCTGGTAAAGAGGAAAGGTTGGGCATGAGGTTAGCAACCTCATCCTGTAATAACAAACACTGCTACAGGAACTTCGAGCCAGTAGCTTGAAGCCCTATGTTCCACTGGGGAACGTGAAGGAAAAACAAATGTAGCATCGTTTTAATTACAGAGTCGAACATATTCGGAAAGGCAAGACAGACATTCATCATTCTGAAACCATTGTAAAGATCCACATCACTTAGCTCCGGCAACAACAGCCGAATTTTCAACACTGTATGGTTCAGGAACTTGACACTAATCACGAGAAGCATTTCCAACACGCTACTGAGGATTTTTATCCTGAGGTCGATACTGGGGCCTAGATGACTGGTGGAGAAACGCAAATATGCACTGTGGGAACAAATCAACCAGCGACATGATTCTAAACTGATATGCAGTAGGAAATCTGTATGATTTAAACACATGATCAACAGTCATTCAAGAGACATCACACGCGAGACTAAAAAGTGACGAGTTTGACGTTCGCGAATGACACGGTGGAGATCATGTGAGTAAGAAATAAATGCTTGTAAGTAGTTGTGGACCAACTGAAAGTGACAGTACAGAACTGAGTGGAGAGATGATGTGCTACTGAGTAATATTAAAATTAATCAAGATGCGCATTGTTAGATTAAAGCACTTTCTAACCTAAGGATATTTTCGTTGCATTCGGGAGCGTTTTGCTCGATTCTTCCTTTAAATCTCTCTTTTATAACATGCGATAGGCTATCTGTTGTCTGTATCTTCAACATCTGTTATGCGTAAGTCGTGATGCGGATTAAACGATGTTATCCGGGACGTTTAAGCAATAAAAAGTAGCGGTAGGTTATTCCGCCGAATTATTAGTCACAGCAATGAATATTGGACCCTGATCATCCCCGTTTAAGTCGACTTGCTTGGCTGAAGGCTTATGGTCAAGCATACACGCCATCTGCTACGTTCGTGAACTATCCCTGGTTAGTTAGGCAGCCACCATCGCACTTCTATTTGGTCTCGAAATATACCTGGTAATTCGGACGGTCAATTTTGGTGTTTCGCTCCGCCTTTGGTCTACCCGGAACGAATACCAAAGAAGTTGTGAGTATTAGATTTTGCGTTAGTATAGATCGTACTATTTGTAAACGTTAACTGCCTTAGCTCTCAAAAACCTTTTGTTCATTGTTAAAAATTCAGTTGCTAGCTTCTGAGAGAGAATAAGCCTGACGGTAGCCAGGTATCATGCCTTCAGGAATAGAAAGAATTTCGAGTGGTCGCCCTACTGTTTCGCTGACGTTAAATCAATTAGACTGGCCTTGCTCACTCGTCAAATACTGAGTTTCTACTCACAGTTTGTGAGGCAGCAGTATTGAAGAACCATATTAATTTGAATACCCAAGAAATCAAAATTGAAAAGGACATGGAGAAGTTTTTGAAGTAGACCTACTGAATGCCATAAAATTCCTCCACTCGGAACTCAAGAGGATAATCAATAAATGCCACCAAATTAGTGATCTTTATGAGGCCACCAAGGGAGAAACACATTCTGGGTAGAATGCGAAAGTTCTACGTTGGATAACTTTGGCACGAGTGATCATTCACAGAGAACGTAAAAAAGCCACTGCAAGAGCTATTACATGTTATGGAGTCCAAAATGGAGTAAACGGTAACTAATCTAGAATGACTCTCCCGAACGCCTTTCCTGTACAAAACCACAATTTTCCACGGAGGAGTAGATGTCTGGCTTTGGCCCTTCCAGCTATTCATTAATGTCTGTTAGCAGTGGGTAACCACATGCAGCAGTTGGTAGTGTTGTATTAATGGTTCTACTCCTGTTAAAACCATAATCCTCTTACCAAAAGCGATAGAAAAACTGACTGACTGAAAACGAGCACAGAGCATCTCCCAAAACCACAATAAGAAACTGGCGCATGTGGATACCCTGTACTTAGTGGTCGTACCATAACACATGGTAATCACGTACTTAAGTTTCTGGAGCCAGAGGCACAGTGCAGATAAATCTAATATAGAAAATTCAAAGAAGCACCGGGCATGTTTGCCGTTTCATGATCTAGATTAAATGCACTAGCCATGGGAAACACGTTAAAAGAAGCTTCGGTGGAGGTCTTCGTAGTGGTCTTGCGATAGGTGAAGATTGTAGTTACGCATCCGACAGACAGCCCAATAACAAATATGCAAACAACATAAGTCCGTAGCGCAGTGTGAAAACTTCAAGATTACACCGCTTCCAATTAATCCCAGGCGCGGCACTGAAAAAGTCGTGGAAACACCATCCATGAACATCTGGATACAAAGATGTCGGACCGCAACCCGTCACACAACACGATCAAGCCAAGTTTGGCTCAGTAAGCCATGATAGCACTCATAAAACAAACAAAAGCTTCCGATGTATTTAAGGCATGTGTCAGCCTCGCCACGTAAATCGTTAATGCCCAGCTCTTGCTACGCTGGGACTCACGCTGTCCCTCGAAGATTCTCAAAAACGCTCAGTAATAACGGACGCAAAAACCGAAACACTGACTGGCGGCTCGAGAATTCTTTATTGTAACACCAATATATAGCGACTATTACAAGTAAGGTCTGTGAACAAATATTACAATAATAAATTACAATATTACTTCTGATGGTTTTGTGCGTGCTTTTTGAACAGCGATCGATGAGACGATGACTGTCGTATTGATGCCTCCGCGAAAATTGGGGAAGTTGGTTTTGAACAAACAACCATGAATTGATCGTTCAATCTTCAACTACATTGACACTCACCGGGAAAAAGGGATCTATTCCTTTTTCCATAACGACCAATACACGTTGACTTGGATGCCATTGCGAGAACCTGGGTCACACGGACAGAGCTGAAATAGAAAACAAACAGTAAAGCCAACACACCACAAGCATACCCACAGCACAATCTCACATATCAATGACGACCTGCGCCTTCCAGTTAAAGGTATCCTCTTGACATCTTGCTACACAACTGTCACTTGCTAGAATGACTCTTGCAGAATGCAACGTGACCATAGCAGCACCTCGTGATACTCTACGCACATCCTCTTATCTACTTACAACCAATTACCACTGAAATCGCTTGTCACTCATTCTGCCTCAATTCTAGTAACGATGACGTATGCAAGCCTCAGTCGTTTACACTCTTTCTCCCCGGCGTGTGGGACTGCAGTTAACAATTATCTCCGTGTGCATTTCATTCTCATCAATAGCCTCCCCGGCGTATACGACCCATCTGCTGTCTCTAACATCAATCAATTCATTCACGGATGTAGAAGACTCGGAACAACTTCAGAAGTAATCACGACGAAAATTTTAACAAAATTACGCAATAACAACAAGGTACGAAAACAACGAGTAAACACAATCAATCCAAAATCACAAATTGAGAAGACACACCACACGTATACACAAACAGTACAAATAACCTCGCGGATCATGCCTTGGTGGAATTCCTTTGAAGAATTGCAGGACTTACACCAGTACGCCTGCAACCCTTCTCAGGTTGACGATTGTAAGTTGTGGAATGTCCGAACACAAACAAGATTAACCAACAATTACAATAATTGGAAACCACAAAATTATTTAACACAAATATATGTACAATCAATACATCAAATGTTGTGGATTGTGCGTCGACGAGCCACCCTTGAAGAACTGTGGGACCTACAGCAGTACGTCTACATTCCTTCTCGGGTTGATGATACAAGTGGAAGACGTCCGAACACAAACAAAATTAACCAACAGCCAGATGACAGATGATATCAATTCAGTATATACAATATGAACATATGTACAAAACAACACACCAAGTACGATGGACCGTGCACCGACGTACTACCGTTGAAGAATTGTAGGACTTACAGCAGTACGCCTACAACCCTTCTCAGGTTGACGCTCTAGGTTGAAAAATCGTCGGAGAGTTCATTTGCTGACTTCCCGCTATTAGCTATATCCTCAATTCTGAACGGTAACACGCTCATGTCATTGTATCGT